CAGAGAATTATGACTGGGATGCACAATGAGAGTGGTGGTGGCCATCTCGCTACTGAACGTACTCTAGAGAAGGTGAAAGCTAGATTCTATTGGCCTTTTATGTCATCTGACATTGAGCTGCATTGCAAGGCGTGTGAGCTGTGTTCAGCTAGGCATACCCCAGCACCAACCGCTCGCGCTCCAATGAAGATGGACCAACCATCGTTTCCGTTACAGCGTGTCGCTATGGACATCATGGGACCACTGCCCAGAACAGATCGAGGTAACCTCTACATTGTTGTGATTACTGATTATTTCACAAAGTGGGTAGAAGCGTTTGCCATCCCGGATATGACTGCTAGGACAATAGCTTCTGCACTGATTGATGGTTTCATTTGTCGCTACGGTGTGCCAGTGTCTATCCACACTGATCAAGGTGCGCAATTTGAGTCAAATTTGTTCAAATCCATCTGTGAACTGTTAGACATGAAGAAGACACGCACAACACCATATCATCCTTCTAGTGATGGTCTAGTTGAGCGGATGAACCGAACACTTGAGAACATGCTGAGTGCCAGAGTCAATGCCAATCACAATGACTGGGATCTGCATATTCAACGCTGTTTACTGGCGTATCGTAGTAGCGTACATAGTTCAACCAAGGAAACCCCAGCTAGACTGATGTTCGGCAGAGAGCTTAAGTTGCCAGTGGATATTATGTTTAACGACTCAAGAGAACATGTCAAATCTGTACCTGACTATTTGATTGATCTGGAGACCTCCTTGCAGCAGGCATTTTCTCATGCTCGATCAGCTGGCGCTAAGGCACAGAAACGTCAGAAGGACTACTATGATGCAAAGACAACCAAGCCACGGTTTGCGATCAATGACAAGGTGCGCTTACACAACCCAGCTGTAAAAGCAGGCACCACGAAGAAGTTCCGGAAACCATGGACGGGACCGTACCGAGTCATTGAAGTGATTGATGATGTGGTGTATCGCATTGAGCATTGTCAAACTGGTAAGATGCAAGTAGTTCACGTCAACCGTTTAAAACCGGTTCGAGAAGACGATACCAGTGTCAATAGTAGTGCTGATCTGCCCCATCCGTCTCCATCAGCAGTTAGCTTTCCGGAACCAGTAGTCGAGTTCCTACAAGTTCCAGTCGTAGCACCAGTAGCACCAGTTGCACCGCAGCATGCATATGGTTTGCGAAACCGTAACAATATTCAACCTCCAGCGCGTTATCGCTAGGACAATGTAGTCCTGACATTTGTGTACAGTCTTCATTAGGTAAATTTGTATCATACTGTATATAGTTCTACTGGAGGCATTTTCCAGTTATCTTGTGTTTTTTCCCTCTCCTGCTCTGACTGGATTTATTTGATAATCACGAGGACGTGATTCAATTTGGGGAGGGAGTGATGTAACACAGTGCATATTGCATATTTGGGCATGCCTCATTCATTGTACCTTGTATGGATGGATGCCAGTGGTTTGGGAACAGTAGATCGTGTAGTTTAGGTTCGAGCCACCTTGTTGTAAAGCTTTAATCATTTTCTTGTTTTCATACTTTTTTAGCAGGCATCTGTTACTTGACATCATGCATGACTCACTGCATTCCTAGTTGGTGCAGTTGCACCACACCTGTAGTCATGGTAGTCACATGCATAGCTCCTGATTGGACAGAGAGCACTCTGGCCAGGTATAAGTAGGGCTGTCACACTTCAGTTCATCCTCTTCCAATTCAGTCTGATTCTGAGTCTACATCTGATCTACAACTGAACTGTGACCTACTTGTGAGTTTGATCTGATTCTCCATGTCTGCTGCCTGGCCCACTGAGGCCAGGCTACACATGTTTGGTATGTGGATAAAGAAATGGAGCAGAATTCGAGGAATTGCCCGCCATAAGGTTTGTATGGTTCTGCCAATTTCGGTGCAAAAAAAGCAGAATCTGCCACCTTTTCGAGCATTATCCGCCAAGGCCTATTCGGGACCAAAAAAAGTTTCAGAATTTGGGAAAAAGTGGCCCGGTCGGTCTACCGGAAACAAGGTCATTACGACATTAGACATCCTGCAAAAGTACGAGAACGCTAACTTTTACGGTACTCACTCCCAGCCGTGACAAAAGACGTTATCGGATAACGGAAAAACGTTACAGAGCCCAAAATAACGGGCCGACGTTCGTTATGGAAATTCTGCAAAAAAAATGCAAAAACTCGCATTGTTTTGTAACTGGCGGGAGATAAAAACTTAAAAAGCACGTCGTGCAGATCGAGATATGAGATCGAGAGTCGAGATTGCTTCCTCTTGTGACATTATTTTTTTATTTTAGCTTTTTTGGTGAGTTTTGCCTTGCGTGTGTCCAAGTTTATCGTATCCGAGTAAATATCCTTGGAAACAGTACGATAAATGTAAGTTTGCCCGTCGTGTGAATGGCCTATTAGCGTTTTTTTAGCTAAGGATATCATTCAATGATTTGTTTTGGCCTTAGCATTTCAACTCCAACAGCACGGACTATTACCAGTGCGAGAGAGAAAACTACAAAAGGCTTTGCTTTCTGTCGCATCGTCTCTCTTGCATGCAACTAACGAGAAAACCGTGTACAGTCGTCCCTCTCTAATCCGGCACTTTATAAACCAGCACCCTCTATAAACCAGCACAATTTTCAGTAGCCAAATGTCCTCTTCATGCACATTGCAGCAGTAGATCAGATTTGTTAATCCAGCACCCTCCCTAATCCAGCAGATTTCCGTGGCGCAAATGGTGCCGGATTATAGAGGGACCACTGCACTGTACTTACCCTCGCATTCACACGCGAACTATCAAACACGCCCTGTGCCGCATGCTGATCAGGTAGTGCCATGTATGTGTTGTACAGTGTACTCTCAGTTGACCATGTCCATGGTTGACATGCCCCCTTTCGAACCCAGACAATCTTTCGTCGGGATTGGTCTAATGCCTGTAAGGCCACCCTTTCTTTTTTCGTTGTTTAACGTCCGCGCCCGCGTACCTTTTTGCCTCCGACCGGAAAAAAAAACAAGAAAGTAATAGTACCAATATTAGGCAATAATATGCGAAGTTGTAAATACATGATTGTGTAGTTTCACAGTGTGCCGGTCATGACCTTAAACTTATAATCTTGCCTCCCGGGCATGCCTTTGTCTTGTGTTCTTTTTCTTTTTTTGTTGGCTTTTAAATATCGTACAGTGTGTGCCCTAGTAAAAATCCAGATGTAATGAATTCATGACATGCTAACTCCATGCTATGTACTTGTTTTGTTGGATTCATCCGGCATGTGCTCCAATGTACCATCAAAGAGTGTTGTTCTATGCCTGCAAGTGCCGCTAGACCCAGAAATATTGTATATCACATGCTTTACTGGTCAAAATGTTTGATTGGAGTTTCCAGTTTTTGGAATGGGCTTTTGTTTTTTTTCCGCCCTCCCGCGTACCTTTTCGCGAAAAAAAGGACGTTAAACAATGAATTAACAAAGGGTGGCCTAATGCATAATGGGTTGATCAGGGCTGCATACATGCGGGCGCCGCGCACACTCGCGCTCGCAGCATGCACGCAAGCTCGTGAAGAAAAAAACTCCCTCTCCTGAATCCTGGTCTCTACTTGTTGCTAAGTATTGAAGTATAAACTAAGTAATATTATTATTAGTTATTGGGTGCTGACTGTATGTGTGGGGCGAGTGTCCCTCGCTCATGTAGATTTTGTGGGCAGTAAGAAAAGGTATCCACGTACGTTCCACTGCATGTTATGTCCTTAGAGTTGCGACGCACCTCCACTTGCTCCTCCAAACTCCACTCGTATTAATCTTGTGCAAGAAGGGCACACGCAGTCTAGTACCATTGTGCGCTGGTCTTCCGCGGTCCCGTATTTACTTCAGTAGCACTCACATTCAGACTTGAGCTTTGTTACCGTGTGGCCGCGTCCCGTTATCTGCGCGGGTGCCCAATGGCCAGTGGAGGTGTGGACATTTGTGCAGGTCAGGAAGACGGCGGACTGCGCGGCCTGGACCATGGGTTCGATAAGCGAAGATGGGTGCCAGGCCCACTGAATGGCCGCGAGGGGCCGCATAGGGATGTGGTGCAAGTCGTGATCTTCAAGACCTGCTGCAAGCACCTCAAGTTGCCCACCTTTGGTACGTGCTTCTTAGCGAAGACTGCTGAGGGAAGTCCCCTAGTTCTCAATGGCGGTGCAGCAGAAGACGAATATGCGTGTTTCTTCACCGTTGCTCATATTCTGTATTGCAAAAAGCACGCATGCTATGTGGCCAAGATTGCATTGGTACACATGAACAAACCAGGCACACCGGCTGAGAGGACACCGCGCACCAAATCTAAAGACATGAGCCACAACGACAAGATTGGATTCTACCGAGTCCCGCAGGAGTACAAGATGTGCAAGACACGAGATGGCTTTTGTCAAAGCGACTACGGATTGATAGTGGTGCGCCGCGATGAGCTACTGGATCTGGACGTGCAGCACATTAGCCTCTCCTTGCCCACGTCACCCGTAGGCGAGAGCGCAGCGTGCTACCCGCACGGTGTTGTATGTGGCTATCCCGTGTACGTGTACAAGAAGCCCGACATAAGCGGGTACGAACTCTGCGGCGAGAGCGCCGGGTTCCATGAGCGACCAGACGTGAAGCGCTACCTTGTAGTCGGCGCACAGTATTGCTCGGTGCCCAGTGGCAGCAGTGATTCGGTCCAGGAAAGCGACGCACACACGCTGAGCAAAGAAGAGCGCCGCCATCTCGAGCGGCACAGCGACGGAATCTTCTCTTTTCCGCAGAACCATTTCGACGCGGACCGTGAAAAGTATGCCCGAACTCCCCAGCGAGGGAAGCGCTATACCGGCATTACATGGACACGTCACCGGGCAACGGCGGATCGCCCGTGTATGTGCCGATGCAGGATGGTACGTTTGTAGTGGTCGGCGTACACCAGGGAATGTGGTACTATCATCACAAGAATTATGTCGACCGAGCGACGGACTGCAAAGTTGCCGTGCGCCTGACCAACACCGTCCTGGAGAGAATGAAAGACTGGCTGGAGCACTATATCAGTAAGCAACACGCAGACCCTATCAGTGGTGACGGTGGAGATGAGAACGGCGCTCCACTTGATGGCGGTAGTGACAGTAAGTTGACCATTGGCTGTTCTAATTGCACAGAGATCATTCATTTTATTAAATTATTTAATAAAAAATGTGATGGAAGATGTGGACAATAAAAGGCCTTAGGACTAGTTTTCATACAATACTCACAGTTTGTCCATTAGTGCAATGACACTCCCTGAAGAGTATTTCACGAAAACTATTTCGAAGTCCTTTTTATTGTCCCTATTTATATATGTGTTAAAGGATTCCCCATAGGCTAAAAGCCTATCTGGAGGATTTACAGCCATTTTCTATTCTATATATATTTTTACAAGATAACCACAAACCATCGTGGTGCAAACGCCAGCAAAACGTACGGAGATACACATAGTGATGGCAGCCGAAACAGTGGAGGTGGGGCAAGAGCAGCTAAACTGACCAACTGGCAAGGGTCTCGTTTCAGCACTGCACATGCACGACAAACAGAAAACACGAAAATAGAAAAAAATGAGCACTTGCACTGCAGAGCAAATGGAAAATAAAGGTGGCAACACAGTCACGGAATGTGTAGGGTGGGAAGGAAAGTTGAGGTGCAGGCACACAATACATTGACTGCATACGCACAGCAGCAGGCATCCGAATGCATACACACACACACACACACACACACACACACACACACACATGCATACACACACACACACACACACACACACACACACACCATCATGATCACGGTCTTGGCCAGTAAGCAGCCATTAGAAAACAATCCCGATGATTGTAGTCGGCATGTGGGGCCAAATCATGCCAAGGTGGAGCATGCTATGTCAATAATTCCTGGCATATCTTAGCACAGATATGAGCGTGCGTGTCTGTGTGTGTGTGAGGTGGGGTCTCCATCGACAGGAGACTTGGTCGGATAGTTACGATGCCGACACTCTCCTCGTCGCCCCCACCTCAGAGTCCTTTGCGAGGCCTTGCAAGCCCGCGAGTGGAGCAAACTACCGCACGAAGACGACGACTTGGAACGACTCTGAGCATTGGCTCATGGAATGTTGGCTCTGTTGTGAAGAGTGATGGACCAGTTCAAGCGGTAGCTGTGAGAGGAATTGTTTCCGATGATAAGCCAGATCCATAGCTGCCAGAGATGGCTCTCTCGAACATGGTCCCTGAGTCCCTGACCTCTCTCTAAGCGGACTGCCGTCGCTCGCCGTTCCAGTTCTAGTCGGCCCCGCAAGGGGACACGTGACCGTAATGGCAGTGTTTACCAGGACCAGGTGTGTGTGTGTGTGTGTGTGTGTGTGTGTGTGTGTGTGTGTGCGCGCGTGTGTGTGTATGTGTGTGTGTGTGCACACATGCGTGTGCATGCACATTTATGTGTGTGTGTGTATGTATGTGTGTGTGTATGTGTGTGTGTGTGCCAATTGAGTCATCTTTCCAAGATTCCTTTTGCGTCTCTCTCCCTTCTCCCGGGAGACCCACGTGACCAGTTTTGGCAGTGTGCAACAAGTACAAGTACAAGTGTGTGTGTGTGTGTGTGTGTGTAAGTATGTGGAGCATAATATAATACACGTTTGTGCATACCGTAGTGACGTGCATATAAGCGCATGTGCCCATACCCGGGCATAAGCGGACCCTCACAAATAATCGCATGGGCTTATAAGTGAACCTAAATGCAGTCCATCCCGCGACACACAGAAACCACAAGAACATCATGTTCACATAGTTAAATGTGCATTGCGGTACTGCACTATGTGCATAATTATGCAAGGTACCACCGGTACACTAGCAACTCAAGCGCATGCGCCTATGTGTGAGACAAAACGACCCGCAAAAAATAGCAAATAAGGCAAAAACTCACTCATAAGCGCACGTGCCGTTATGTGCGTCACTACGGTATGCCGGAAAACTACTTCAAAGTCCATGCGGCGTGTACAGTCCCGTTTAATGAAACCCGACGAGGCATGTGAATGCCATGCCAGGCACTGTGCAGCCCTAGACCTGCTAACATTGGGATGGTGAGCTGGTGCAGGACGCAAACTTGACTCACACGATCAGATTTCATTGAGCAGCACTGTATATCCTGAACGTTGCCCATAGTTGGATCTGACCAAATCAACTTGGGTCCGGGCAAAGAAACTGTTGAAGCTATAGTGAGGTTTTGCATTCCGAAATTCGGCAAAACGATTCGGCACGCGGGAGCGAGCTACTGCTAGCTAGCTAGATAGCGCTAGCGCTAGCTCCTACTTGCCACGAAACTTCTAACTACAAGCAGTATACTTATATATTATGACTGTTTTTCGAAATTAATGGGACCCCGCACTAATTCGGCAAAAAGATTCGGCACGCGGGAGGGAGGTCGAAAATGCACACGAAGATTCGGCGTGTTTGTTCGGAAAAAGCTCACTTTAAGTCTTTGCCGAAAATATTTTTCGGATGCAATGTTAATGTCTTGTAGAAGAGCGCTAGCGCTTGATTTATTCAAAGAGGTTTCTTATCTCGGCATCGCTTGGCAGGCGTCTTTGGCGTCATAGCATCGTCAGCTACCTCTGATTGCTCCTCTCCACTGCCTGTCTACTCTCTTTCGCCTGGAGTGTCCTCACCGTAATCTGTGTGGCTGAAAAGACTATGGCAACACGCATAACATTTGACTTGGCCATGGTGTTGGTTTCTCTGAGGCGACTGAGGAGGCAGGTTTGGCCCTCGACTCTTGGGGCGATCAAAGTCCGTTGGAATCGGCAAGAAAAGGAGCACGGGACAGGACGTTGCTGATGCTGGGGCTCACGAAATGAAACACATCATTTTCGACTTGCAAAACGGACGTTGGTGTGAAAATTCGACATTTTGATGTTCGACAAATGACCGAAGATCAACAACGCTGTACTGAAATTCGGAATGCAAAACCTCACTAATATGAATAATCAAATAAAACGGTCGTGTACCGATAATCGATATCGATATCGTCTTTCGTCATGTACAAGTAGTAGTAAGTAGTAGCAGCAACTACTACACTGTAGTACGTAGATCTATTGTACAAGTGCAAGTGGGCGCTATGCGCACAGCAAACACCAAGAAAGGCAAGCGAACGTGCAAACTTTTCGGCGCAGGGAGTCGTGAACTGAGCCCTGAACCGGCATGATGGAGGCGGTCGAGGAGTAATCTTCTGTCATCGCCCTAAGCTCTATTATGCCTACTGTAAATATACAAATTTTCGGCAGCTATTTAATTTCGGCTATATTCGGCACCGACCCAAAACGCCTAAATTAAAACGCCGATGAAATTTTTCACAGCATCTATCGCACTATACCATGCCCTCTACCCCACGCCGAATATAAATCGCCGCCGAAATGTCAAAAATCGTGAAGTGCTGAAATTTTGTAGATTTACAGTATTCTAAAGCCGTGCCAGGACGAGCGAGTAACCGTGGCCGAGCCATCTGCTGAAACGGCCATTCACTTTCATTCCTTATTTGCCCTGGTGAGTGCTGCGACAATTGCGACCAAACGTTTCCTCAGGTTTATCAAGGAACGTGCTTCCTACTCAGCGATCTGAACTGGCAGCTAGCAAGGAGTACATCTTCGCGACTGCCGCACATAATCTGCTCTGCAACGATTGCGGCCACTGGCTCTGGGTACAAATCTACTGCGATTTATCTGAGGACCAGTTCCTAACCAAGGGAAAGATAACCCGCAAGAACGAGAATGGCTGGTTGATCGTTCCTGACTGGTACAAGGACAATGCCAAGGATTCAGAGAAGAATAGCAATCTTGACCGACTTCGACACGACTATGGCATAATAGCAGCCAAGAAGAGTCGCTGCAAGTGTCCGCTGGTATACTGGGCTGATGAAAAACTTCTTGGCGTTGCGAACCAGTGCCAGAAGGAAGAGGATGACGTCCGCATGTGCGGATATCCACTGTACACCTACTATGGTGGCCATGAAGAGAGGGCCGAGAAATGCAAATACTGGGTTGACGAGCCCCGCCCTGCTACGTTTGCAGACCACGACAATCAGCTTCACCACTTTGTTCGCTCTAGCGGTGGGCAAGGTGGCTCGCCTGTCTTCCTTCTGCCCAAAGAAGGCGAAGCTGAAACGGCCTCTGCTACTGGCTATGTTGTAGGGATTCACGTCAAAGATGCCAGTAAGACAGAGTGTAATTCCGCTGTGAAGCTCCGGGACGAGCATGGACGCGACACAAAGCCAATGGAAGACCTCCGAAATTGGGCGAAGGATCCATCACCATGGTTAACAGCCGAAAATGTTGAAGATGATGAGGAATCAGGTAAGGGGCTGTCCGGGTTACCGATTGTCTTTTCCAAGTGAAACGTTTTAGTGTTTTTCAGCCCCAACACACCCACCCACTCTTCCTGCTGGTAAATGGAACTGGAACAATTTTTTTTGTATTCAAGTATTGTATTTTATTATTTTTACTTGGGCATTCCCAACAGACCCTAAGGTCTTCTTACAGGGTGCCCAAGATGAATGAATGTGTTAAGTTCCTGGCGAAATGAATTGGGATATGATTTGTGCGAAGGGATTCAGGAAGCGCATTCAAGCGGTCAGCACCAAGGAATGAAATAGATTTGTATCCAGCTTGAGTTTGCACAATGGGTAAAGAAAGGGAATTTATTGACTTGGCCGCGGGTGACTCCATCCATGTGAGCGCAGTCTCGGCGAAGGGAGAACAAAATATCGATTCGATCTTCGGCACCCAAAGTAGCTGGTAACCATGGACTAGCACATAGAATGTGTGTTGCTATGGTTGCGTGCTGGGCAATTCGGGCTGTCCAAGTCTCCACTCGGCCACTTGCGTTTCATGGCCCGTTCTACACTGGATGTTCTAGCACGAATTCAGAAGCTGTTTCAGGTCGGCCCGCACACCCAACTCCATCCAGTAAGCCTGGAAACGTTTGCGCTGGTTTTAGTTCGCGATTTGCGAGCGCAGACAAATTTGCACCTGGAAATGTTTGTGATTGGAGTAAATTTCTCCAGTTTCTTCACTGCAGTTCTGCGATTTCACACCGATTACAAGAACCGCAAAGGTTTCCGGGTTTGCAGTAACTGAATGTCACGTGAATCCGTGAGTTTCTTTTCTTTCCAGGTTGGCCAGACTGCATTGCAACCCATTCGTTGATTATTGTGTTTTACATAGACGCATCCCATCGAAGGCCCTGGGCAAAACATCAAATTGATGCGAAGTACCGTTGATTCGCCCCGCTTTTGAATTCTAGTTCCTGTCGAATGTCTACTTGTGATGAAGGGGCTTCGGTGTAACAGCTATGCGTAGGAGTACGGTGTCAAGTCCACGTACGTATGCACTACATGTGGCAATACGTGCTAGTGTCTGTATGCCTGTGAATGGATGTACTCCGTGTGGAGTTGACCAGGTGTGCATTGGTGGTTGATTCACAAGGCTTCGCCAGTTGTGTGGATTAGACAGTTATCTGGCGCAAGTCTTGATCTGTCTCATTCAGATCTTGTCCGCTACCGTTGCTATAAGAGAAAATCTGTGGGTGCACATCCAGTGCAGTTGCAGATTGCGTGCTACTCTTGCGACGGGCGTATACATGGTACATGGTGCATGGGGAATGGACATGTGCACAATGCAGGAGGACAAGCCTGATCTTTCGTGTAGTTGTATCACCTTGTACATGTCAACAGCCGCCCCAGCCGAAAACCGAATATATAACGACACAGAGAGTGACACAGCTTGGGGGGGGGGGGGGGGGGCAATGGTACTTTGCCATACATGGGTATCATTGCAGAGCATGAAGTGCCATATTTGTGTGTGTGTGTGTGTGTATGTGTACGCTGCACGTGTGTGTGTGTGCACGCGTATTATGACACACGCGCATGTTTTGCTGTCCAGTCAAGCGTAGGGGTCGGAACAGAAGGGTATGCACGGAGGTCAACTGCATCAACAGCAACAAGCAGAGTGAGTACAGTGTCGTGTGTTGCCGAATAACTGGTGGGGGGGGGGGGGGGGGGGGGTACCTGCATTGAATTGTTTCACATCTATCACATGACAATCCAGGGACAGCCATGTAAAATTGTTGGTTCCAAATCTGCTCTCAACCCTTGCATCTAGGGGTCACACGATGTCGGCCATTTTGGTTCCACTGTCCACACGCCATGACCAGTTTGTGCACAAATTTAGTCACATGACCAAGATGTGAACACCAGTCTATAACTGATTTTCACACCAGTATCCATGCTACAGTGTAACCTGTCTAAGACGACCGCTCAAGGGACCTTACAAATGTGGTTCCAGTGTACAGATGGTCTCCTTATCCAGCCGGGGTCATTTGACGGGAAATAACATCCCTTGGTCCTATCTGTATTGGTCCACTAGGACAGGTGGTCGCCTTATCAGAGTGGTCGCCTTGACACATTTTACTGTATCGGCTTCCCCGTCCTGCTACACTGCTTATAGTAGTGCGTACGGGTGAATCTTCTCCTGCCCAGCATAATGATGATACTGAGCCATACTTTCATTCACACATTTTTTTGTTGTAATTGACTCTGCGCTCTCTTGGGTGTCCCATATCGAATATATCTGTCAAAAAATCAAGTAAATCCTTAGGAATTCTCTCCCCCCACTGCTCCCACCTCCCACTCTCTTGCAAGCTTCTTTTTTATTCAGTCTATCTTCGCCCCGTATTCGATTATGCCGATACGTCTTGGGCTGGATTGTCTTCGTCCACTGCTGCAAAGCTTGAAATACACCACAAGAAAATCCTTAAAATTCTCCTCCGTCAACCCCGCATACTCTCATCATCCGCTCTTTATAAACTCGCTCACACAACTCCGTTATCACATAGACGCAGTGCACACCTGGCTGCTCTTGTCCATTCTATTAAAGGGGAAGTTAAGGCAAAAATTAAAATTTCACCAGTTGTAGTCTTCGGGGTGCTGAGTCGAATGGTCTTGGTCCGAGAAAGCTGAGACGCTCCCTTCCTACTTGAATCCCAATCGAACTCGCGCACTTCCACCGAAACTGGGTGACTGCGCCCTACGAGATGGGGATTTGTATGCAAAATGTCACTAAAAGCGCCATTTCGTTCTTATAAAAGCACGGATGACCGCCATTGGCCCATATGTTGTAGTCTTTTGGACGCTGAGTCGACTGGTTTCGGTCCGAAAAGGCTGCGATGCAGCGTTCGCCCCTAATTCCCAATCGAACATGGTTGAACAAGTGGTCACGTGCTCCTGCGTACACCAGTCACATGGTCACCGTGCTTGCAGGGTACAACTTACAGCCTGTTTTGACCTTTTTTGGGTGCAGTCCTGTCACTCGAGTTGAACCTTAGTGTGAAAGTTGTCGCCTGCTGGCGTGGTGACCAGGTGATTTTGGCACCCAGGAGCACGTGACCGCTTGTTCAAGCATGTTCGATTGGGAATAAAGGAGGAACGCTGCATTGCAGCCTTTTCGGACCAAAACCAGTCGACTCAGCGTCCAAAAGACTACAACATATGGGCCAATCGCGGTCATCCGTGCTTTTATATGAACGAAATGGCGCTTTTAGTGACATTTTGCATACAAATCCCCATCTCGTAGGGCGCAGTCACCCAGTTTCGGTGGAAGTGCGCGAGTTCGATTGGGATTCAAGTAGGAAGGGAGCGTCTCAGCTTTCTCGGACCAAGACCATTCGACTCAGCACCCGAAGACTACAACTGGTGAAATTTTGATTTTTGCCTTAACTTCCCCTTTAAGCTTTAGTTGTGCCCACCTCATCTCATGTGTTTTAATTGGTTCTCTTCTCTAACAACTAGGGACTCGCTTGTGCTCCCCAAGTGTAACTCATCCACTCTTTTGCGCTCCCCTCTATTTATTGCTTTTTCTGTTTGGCTCATTCTTCCCAGAGAAGTTAAGGATATGGTCTCACTCCACCTGTTCAAGATCCGTGCCGCCCCTTATTAGCTCATTATCCACATGTCCTTTGCGTCTCTGTTGCTTTTATTTGACATTCTCTTTCTTTACTGAGTTGTTGGTGCTGTGTGTGTGTGTGTGTGTGTGTGTGTGTGCGCGCGCGCGCGTGCGCCAGTACTTCAGTACTGGTTTTTCATTCCGTTCTAATTCCCGGTTCTTGGTATTTGTCCCACAGACCAACTTCAGATGAGCCTATGGATGAGCAGACAAGTACTACGATTGACAAAGGTAAATGCGACCTTCACTTCTAGGCAAAACCACTAGGACCCATGATGGGTTCCTGGGCCAGCATACACTGACACTTCAAGATTTGTATTGCTGAGTATTGTACATGCACATTTTTTTAATTTGTTTTATCACATTGCACATACCTATGGAAGAAGGGGAGACAAAACGAAGACAACAAAACAAAAAAAACAATGGATGTGCAGGCGCTACATGAGCTGTGTTATAACGTACGCACGCAAGATTCATTCCATGCAACTCGCGTATACCACAGCAGGAAACACCATCTGGTTTGTTCTAGGATAATTTAGAAGTGAACATGTAAAATGGCAATCACGGAAAGATAAGCAGCAGAGACACGTAAGTGCTGTCGTGGCACTAATGGCGCTATGACACGACAGTATAGGCCTCGTCAGCTCGTACCAAAGTAAGACACACGTCAGCCATGCAGACGTAATGCAGAAGAAGACTGATTCATAATGAGGTAAGACATTGTCACTCTTCGTCATGCATGCATCAAAGGAGCGTAGAACGACACACGTAGAACACACGTAGAACGACACACGTAGCAGAACGTAGATCGTAGATCGTACGACTAATATTAATAATAGATCAATCTATAACAATCCTCCTTCCTTAAAGAAGTAGTGAAGTGGAACTAGCAATAATGCATATATAATCAAAATGCATCCAACAACTATATACAAGAGCAAATCCTCGGAATAGGACACTCTAAGGCAATGTCAGAATTGCTAGGCGAGTCACTCATGACTAATGCTAAGATAGTCACTCAATACTCACAAATTTAAGCGATCAGGGGCACGGCGCATTCTTGACGGATAGCGCGGTGACACTGGAGTTGAAGAAACAGACACTGACACATCAGGCATACTAACAGGAGTAGCGACTTGAACTGTATCAGGCATACTAACAGGAGTAGCAGCAGTAGTAGACATACTAGGCGTAGCAGTAATAGGCGTACTAGACGTAGCAGTAGTAGGCGTACTAGGCATAGTAGTAGCTGCTGTATCAATAACAGGGGACGACTGAGTCGGCGGTGAAGCTGGTAACTCAGGAGTCGGCGTTGCTGTAGCGACTGTCGGAGTAACACTCGGCGTAGACACTGTCGGAATGGCGTCGGACTTGGCCGATAAACTAGCAGACTCAGCTGTTCTGGACTTCAAATGATCAATGTGCACTTTTCGGACTCCTCCTCCTACCATCACAGAATAGGTCATCGTACTGAGTCGTTTGCATATTAAACCTTCTAGCCACTTCAGCTTAGAGCCAGGACGAGCATTGTACACCCACACTGGTGCATTCACTGTGAACTCACGAGACGCAGTACTGTCGAGTTCATGGGCCTGCTGCATAGCCGTGGCGAAACTTGGTTGCAGCAGCGCCAAACGCGTGGTCGGGGCTTTCTTCAATAGAATACTCGCGGGACTCTGCTTAGTAGCGCTGTGCGGCGTGTTTCTGTAATCGAAAAGAAAGCGAGACACTTGCACACATACAGACACATGGTGAGGCCTTGCTCGCAAAGCCTTCTTCAGCTCTTGCACCATCCGCTCACACTGTCCGTTGCTGGCGGGATGATAGGGCGGTGTACGATGATGCTTAATACCATTCTGAGCACAGAAAGCAGCGAACTCGCCAGAGGCAAATTGTGGGCCGTTATCAGATACTAGCACTCTAGGAATACCAAATGTACTGATGAACCGTAGCAAACAGTTCACTGTTTTAGTAGTCGTAGCGGAGGAACCAAGCTCGTATACATCAATCCACTTAGAGAATGCATCAACTATGACCAGAAACTGTTGCGACTCGAACTCAGCAAAATCAAGATGCACACGCTCAAAAGCAGCATTGGGGTATGCCCAATGGTGGACAGAGTCCTTGCGGGGCAGATTAGAGCTTTCCTGACAAAGACTGCAATCGGCGGCTAATCGTTCGATATCGGCATCTAAGCCTGGCCACCAGAAAATGCTTCGTGCCACACTCTTCATTCGAGACACGCCGGCATGTGAAGAATGCAGTTCCTCTAATAAGTGGCGTCTAAACTGAACTGGAATAATGACGCGGGAACCCCACAGCAAACAACCATGCTCAATACTTAGGTCATTCCGGATGTGGCTATACGGCACTAACCTGTCGGGAACTGTAGCAGGCCAACCATGCAGCGTGTAGGACATCACTAACGAAATGTCAGAATCGTATTTGCTAGCCTTGGCAACATCCGAACTCTGTAGAGGCATTAACTCGCAGGGGTCAAATGCATGACTGCTGACTGCACTAACAATTGCAGACATTTCAGCAGCAGACAATGGTAAAGGCAGACGAGACAGACAATCTGCTAGCACATTTTCTTTACCTGGAATATGCTCAATGACGTAGTCGTACTCAGCGAGAATCACGGCCCAGCGCTGTAGACGGGATGCCGACGTCTTACTTAACGACTCGTGCTCGCCAAAGATCTTGATTAGAGGCTTATGGTCGGTGCGCAGAATGAACTTACGACCGTAGATGTACTGGTGTAAACGACGAACAGCAAACACGATAGCTAACGCCTCTCGCTCAATCTGGCTGTAATGACTCTCTGCTTTGGACAAAGCACGTGACACATATACAACTGGCCGAACAGACTGGTCCGGCATGACATGTAGAAGAGCAGCACCAATACCAGCAGGGGATGCATCACACTCTAAGATCAGCGGTTAGGTAACATCATAATGGGCCATAACTGGATCTGCGATGAGAAACTCTTTAACTTTGGCAAACGCCGATTGACATGCATCCGTCCAATTAAAGACTACATCCTTCTTTAACAACTCGTTCAGGGGTTGTAACAGCGAGGAGCAATTGGGGATAAACCGCCCAAAGAAATTCACGAGCCCCAGAAACGAACGCAAGGTAGATACATCATGGGGCCTCGGGGCATTCTGAATACTCAAAACCTTATCCCGACTGGGCTGTAGACCAGCCTTCGACAATGTAAACCCAAGGTAACTAACTTGTGGCTTACCAATCTCACATTTCTCACGACGCAATCGCAGCCCTGTCTCAGCGAAACGACGGAGGACTGCTTGTAGACGCTCGTCGTGTTGTTGCTGGGTGTTACCACAAATGAGAATATCGTCGAAATAGACAACGACACCTTCTAGACCTTGTAGAACCTGCTCTATGGCCTTCTGCCAGATTGACGGAGCTGAGCTGACGCCGAAGGGTAGTCTCGTGAATTCGTACAAACCCTTGTGCGTAGCGATGACACAATAGCGCCTACTGTCGTCGTCGAGCGGTAGCTGAGCATAAGCTTGGCTGAGATCTAATTTGGAAAATACAGATCCACCAGATAATTGCGATAACAAATCACTCGGGTTGGGAATAGGATGCTGGTTAGCTTCAATGTGCTTGTTGATAGACACTTTAAAATCTGCACATAAGCGGATGGTGTTGTTTTTCTTTTTTACAACCACCACGGGGGATGCCCAATCAGCGTTAGAGACCGGCTTGATGATCCCCTCCCCCTCTAGACGCAACAACTCAGCTTCAACCTTAGTGCGGACGGCGTACGGGACAGGACGGGAACGGCAACTCTTGGGGGTGGGTGACCCTTGAAGCTGGATCTTGGCAGACTGACCCTTAATAGTACCCAAACCCTCTTGAAATACGGTAGGGAACTGACGCAATAGACTATCTAGCGACAATGCATTGACTTGTGCATTACGAAAATTTGACCAGTCTATAATGACGTGGGACATCCAGTTTCGACCAAACAGGGGCTGACCACTACCCTCTACAACAATGATGGTGTCTCGAAACTGGTGAGACTCGTAACGTACATCGACAATGCATTCACCCACTACAGATAGGGAACTACCACCATACGAATGCAGAGACGCACGAGACTTATGCAGACAAACATTGGGAAACTGCTCCTTGCAAACAGAACTAGGGAATACTGAAACTTCAGCACCAGTGTCGACTTCCATAGGACAGACTACATCATTAACGCATACATCAATCATCATGGGAGGATGAGACTTAGACTTAGGTTGACACTTATCTGTAGGTGACACATCGTCGGTGAGAGCCCCAATGCTGAAAGAGTCGAACAGTGACTCTGGCTCGGACGAAATGTGGGACGTCGACTGCGAATTGCAGCAGGAAGCGAAATGCCCACGACGCTGACACTTGCTGCAGGTTTTGCCACGCGCCGGGCAACTCGGATCCCGACCGAAATGACCAGCCTTGCCACACCTAAAACAGAGACGCTCAGAGGAAGTAGAAGCAGAAACAGACACTCTCTCAGGTTTACGTGCACGATCCGTTTTACCTGACGACTTGAAATGTTGTTTCTGTTGTTTCTGCGACACAGAGTGCTTACGAGAGAGACCGTGGACTTCTGATGGCGTACTCATAGCAGCAGCGGAACCCATAGACGAAGCTTGTTGCTGGGTTGCCTCAAACAAAGCTGCAATTTCTAGACACGTACCCAAAGTTAGTTTTGGATCTGATAACAACTTCTTTTTCAACTCGACATTCACAATGCATGACACCACATGGTCTCGAATCATGTCGTCACAAGCGGAACCAAAATCACACAAGCGGGCCTGGACGCGTAATCTTACAACAAACTGACTCACCGACTCATTCCTAGCAAAAGTCATCTGGCGCAGCACGTGACGCTCGTATACAGGATGTGGCGCGGCCTTGAAATACATAATCCTACACAGTTGCGAGGGCATGATGCTCTGATCAGGCCCGAGGTCTGTGAGTGATCTTGCCCGAGGTCGCGACGCCCAAGGGGCGTAGCCCCGAGGGCGTCGCGACCGAGGGCAAGATCACTCACATGACCGAGGGCCTGATCAGAGCGGCATGCCCGACGCAACTGTGTAGGATTGCGCTTCAGACAAGGCCCACCTCACAAACAACAAGGCCCAGTACAGTAGAGAGATTCAAACAGAAAGAAAGCCTTCACGGCAAATGAGTTGATGTCACATTGT